ACTGCTGTTGCTGCACAATGTACTAAAAATGCAGAAGTGAATTTAATACAGTGCTGATGCTTTTTGCAGGATATAGCTTATATGTTTGTGAGAGTGGGGATGTGTGAACAGGCTGTGTCAGCCTTTCTGAAATGTAATCAACCAAAGGATGCCGTGGATACCTGTGTGCATCTCAACCAGGTAAAACAGCAGGAAATTATCTGTAATAATAACAATTTAACAGTGAGATTTCTATCCTAATGCCCAGTGGAATATAAATCCTTGTTAAGTGTCAGATGATTTATCATCGTTTCTGGAAAATTCATACTTAGTGTTTAAGCCAGTTCTCTGAGATTAAGATTAAACCACAGGAGGGGCAGTGCAAAGCTACATGCAAGGGAATGTGGACAGCATGCTCAGCATACAGACATTTGTAACCTCTGTGGAGCTAGGCTGTGCTGCCTCCTGATGGAATGGGAGAAGACTGGAGAAGAGAGAGATGTTCATTCTGGGTATTTTCCACATCCCCATCCTTCTTTGTATAGATGCAAATGGATTTGTGACTGCATGAGGATGTAGCTGGAAAAAGCTGAGCTGAAAACTGATCTGCATGTTTATAACTAGAGCTGTTTCCTGGTATGACTTAACCTGTGCAACTGTGCAGTCTGTGTCAACACAAGTAAGGGAAAAATGGAGGATGAGGAATTTGATGGATGGAATAGCAGGACTGACTAGGGCTGGCATTATGTGAACTATCTTAGTTTATGGATCTGAAGAGCTATTAGGTGTGAGATTCAGTTTAGATCTCAGTCCTGACAAACTTTTCATCTGGGGCAAACACAGTAGCCAAACCACTGGAGATGAGGAAAATTCACAGACAAAATGAGGTATATAAAAGAATAAGTAAAGTTACTGTGTGCTTTAAGCTTCTGGGCTAAGGTCCTCTTTCAGACATACTTTTCAGAGTCTGGTTTAAGTAACAGCAGAAGTGTTGAAATACACGTGTCCAGTTATGAGCTGCACTGAAATGATTTTGCATAGCTTTTATGAAAGTAGAAGCAACTGTTTTATATGTGGTTTTGGACAGAGGTCCAGCATTTTTTTCAGTACTGCTGCATCACGTGATTCGCAGTGATGTAAGCATTTGTATTTTCTTGTTTTTTATGTTAATTTTATAGCCGTCTGGTTCAAAATTGTTGGGAAGGTAGAATTAGAAAGAAATTATAAATATGATTTTGTAGCCAGAAAGGCTAAGGAAGAAATACAAATGATAGCACGGTTTGAATAATTCAAAGAAACCAACCGGGCTGGTATGCCAGAACACATTCTTTCCTGCAATAAAACCAAGCTGAGACCCCTCATCCCAGCCTTATAAGGAAAGGTCTGAAGGACCCTGAGATAACTAAAAATATGCAAAAATAGCGATTTCTATAGGTTGTACACAAATGTTACTATATTAGTATACTTAGAAAGATTAGTTAAGGAATAAAATACTCAAAGGTATAGGTTATATAAGTAGTGGTATAGAAGAGCTCGGTCTCTTTTCTCTCTTTTTTCTCTCTTTTTTCTCTTGCTTGCTCTTTTTTTGTCTCTATTGCCCTCTCTTGCCCTCTCTTGCTCTTTCTCTCTACCTCTCTACCCCACGCCCTGAAATAAACTTCTAACACTTAACTCGATTATAGAGGTCTTTGCCGTGTCTCTGACCGTCCCCAGAAAGCGTCTCCTACACAAAATGGTGATGAAATATTGCACACAAACATTGTAGTCTGTTCATGAATACCTGACTTGTTCTGAGAGTGTATTTGAAAAAATGAGATTAATAATTGTCTCCTTTAATTTCTAGTGGAATAAAGCGGTGGAGCTGGCTAAAAATCACAATATGAAAGAGATTGGATCCTTGTTAGCCAGATATGCAAGCCATTTACTGGAAAAGAATAAAATCCTTGATGCTATAGAACTCTACCGTAAAGCAAATTATTTCTTTGAAGCTGCTAAGCTCATGTTCAAGGTATCACAGGTTTTATTTTTATGTCAGATGACTGGGGTTTTTGGACTAGCTCTTACTATTTCCATGCTACTTTTATTCTCTTGGGGTTATTTTAGTTTTAACAATGTCAAGGCAATTAAGCAGATGTCATCATACAGGATACTGCAAAGATTAACCCATCTCCCAGAGTTCAGGTATCTCTATCAGTAATAGTTACCCTGGATGGCCTCTGTAGCTAGTGGAGAGGAAACTGGAGACACAAGCTATCTATTTATTTTGAGACTTTCATTTCAGTAGATGAACTCCATGTCATAAAAGGTCCTGATGCCCTGCATTGCCTAGTAAAAGAGTGTGGTAGACTGGCCTGGCATGCAATGTCCACGGTATTTCAGCTATCATGGGAGTTATTTTTAATCTCCTTTTTTTAAAAAGAACAAAACAAAAAAAAACCCACAAAAAACCCCAAAAAACAAAAAACAATGTCAATAACTAGGAGTTAAATTTTGGTATTTCTTCAGTTAGTTCCTTCAATTAGAAATGGCTGTGGTGTGCTTTTAAGATAAAGATGTTGCTTAGATTTGGTTTGGCTGCAGAGATTTCTCTACATAGCTTAAAGTCTTGTAGGAATGACATGCAATTTTTACTCCAAATATTTATAGCATTATATAT